TTATATGTATAAACATCTTTTATCCACTCATTCATTCATGGACAACCAAGATACTTCCACATCTTAGCTGTTGTGAGCAGTACTACAATGAACATGGAAATGGAGGTGTCTCTTGACATACCAATTTCATTCTTTTGGAATACAAGTAGTGGGATTGTTGAATCTGATACAGAAAGTACATATTGTGTATTTTATTTTCCTCTCACTTAGTAGTGTTTTGACTTTTATAATAAATATTGAAATATTTATGAACCAAATTACACAATAATGGCTTTATATTTCATGTTTTTTCCATATTAGTATGTATTTAGGTTTGCATATTCCCCATACATAGTACATATATGAAGGACTTGCATAAAACAATAAGAAGGACATGGATGCAAAAATTTTGGCAGCAGAAAATTGCACAAATGTAAATTATTTTGTTGGATACATTTTTAAATTCTCCCCAAATATTTTTTTAAGTTTTAATTAGAATAAGTCTTTGTGAGGTTTAGATCAGTTAAACTGGGTTCTTTGTGCCTGTTTACTAGTTAATACCCATTCACAGTCATGAAATCTTCACCTCTGGAAGAGCTCAGGCCAGAATAGTGAGGTACCTTTATCTAGGCAATTGAAATTCAAGTTTTAATATGATTTAAAGGAAGATAAATATATTTTTAAACAATTTTTTCCTTGTAAGCCATAGGTCAGTTTTGTGGTAAAACTTCCCTAAGCATTCTAAACAATTTATAAAGTATTTCAAATTTTGAATAACTTGACATATAAATCATATTCTACCAATACACATCTCAAATCATTGTACTTAACACAGAAAATGCAGCTAAAATTGGAATGAAATTTTTTCTTTCCCAAAGCATTTTTATTTGTTTGAGAAGAAGAATTTTTAAAATTATTATGTTTAATTTTTTTTCATCAGTGTAAACACTTTAGAAAAGAGAAAATATATTATTCCAAATTAAATTGATGAACTTGGTGCTATAAAATAGCCAGTGAACATTTTTGTTAAGATTATTTTTTGTTAATTTCAAACACACACAAAGTTTGAATAATCAATTATTTAATTAGTTAGCTATTTAATTTTGTGCTGTAGATTGAACCCACCCAAGATTCTACCACTGAGCTATATACCCCAGGTTCCTGAATTTAAAGATTTTGTTATTGATTTTCCAAGATATTTTCATCTAAATGAAATATTATAGTTTAAATTTATATCTAAAACTTATATGGAAACATCTACTTTACATGCAATTCATTTATATGCCAGAATAATTAATTAAATAATGAAATTAATTTCTATAGTACTTTTATTCAGTTCTTCTGAATATCTGGAACTGACCTATTACTTTTCATGGCAGGGTCCCCAAAATTTGCAACAAGTTTCCTTCAGAAGTAGAAGGATTGTTGGATATAACAATCCTGGTCCTAACTCATACTTTTATTGGCTTCTATAGAAATATATTTCAGTGAATCTGCTTTTAATAAACCACTCGAATAATTCTTGTGCCTATTTAAGTTTSAGAAACAAGTGTTAAAGGTGAAAAGCCACAGTGTCCTAATCTTTTCAGCATCAGTATCTCTGGGCTTTGCTATACACTGGGAGGATCTTTGCATAGCATATAGTGAGGTTTCCAATATCGCCTCCAGACCCAGGTGTAGAAACTGAAGAAGCCCTGGATGTCTCTACAGATTTTAAGAAAATAAGTAGTTCTGTCTTTGCCCAGAAATTGTGCATTTAAAAAAATGGCTAATAAAATATATGTATAAATATGAACAAATTAATTTCAAACACCTGCCATTACAATTACCTATATCCCAAGCATAAGTACATTTTAGTACATTTCATAGTGGCTGGAAGTTCTATTAATTCCTTATCTTCTACAACAACTCAGCAAATAGGAGAGTCTGCATCCTCCTATTCTGTGAAATTCAGAGGTACCTTTTTTTAGGAGTCAATTTCTGTTCTGCTCAGTTTAAAAAGACTTACAGTAAGTTTACTTTCATTCTAAGGATCAGGACAGATCATCCAAACCAGCTAAGGAAGAGGAAAGGGAGGAAGAGGAAATCCCAAGCAATGCAAGATTCCTAGTAGTGAAAATAAGCAGAAATCATAAAAGTGAGCACAAATCATAGACTTCTTCCATTGCCACTMTCCTTTTCTCAGGTACGACAGAGATATGGACCACGTAGGTTGAACTTTAAACCATCTAGCCCCAAATTGTCCTAAAATTAAATGTTTAAACACATTAATATTTTTTTCTCTTCTTCCCTTTCTTCATCTGGTTTTGTACCGTTAGGTCAAAATTTCTTACTCCCATTTGTGCTTAATATAAATGGAAAGTCAGTATTTTTTTACTGTAAAGGAAGAAAATATTTTCCATGTACTTCATACTGAAAGGATAGGGCATCGCATGCTGACTACATGAGGCAAACCTGTAGGAATCAGAGTGGGCTCTGGAATCAGCCTGTCTTGGTTCTAATCCAGAAACACCACTTATAACCTGGAAGACCTCAGACAAGTTGCTTTACCTGTCTGTGCTTCATATCTTTCATCTCTAAATGGGAATAGCATTGCCTCATAGGCTTGTTAATGGGATGAAATGAGAAAAAAATATGTATAAAACCCTTAAATCTGAGCCTATATGTAGTGAACTTTTCATTTATCCTCAGTGCTGTTACTGTGTTATTGAGGCTTAAGCTGTCAGCATGATTAAGGAACCCTCCRGTGGGGTGGCCAGGCTTCTGCTTACCTTCTTTGCCTCCCACGTGTCCTCCTTTCACTTCCTATCACTCTGCTCTACTAAAGCCAGATTACTTTTTAGTCCCAAACTCTATTATCCCTGTCCTGCTTATCTTTGTGCTTGCCGCACTGCCTAGTCATCCTTCAGCATTCGTACAACCTATTTTCTATTAAGCTCCTGCCAAGTAAAATGGACTGCTGCTGCGTTAGTGTCCCCTGCCAGACATTTGTTCAAAGTTCTTCATTTCTCTTTCCCTGCTTTCTCCTCTAGACTGTGAACCTTCCAAGGGCAGGAAGAATGTGTTAGAAACCCTGAGGGCCATAATACCTGGCAGCTCTCTGTTATGTAGAAGGCATTTAGAAAAGTATGTTGAATTAAAGAGCGCTTAAAAACTCAGTCTAGTAATTCTGAAGTCATAAAATTCTATTTAAAGTACAGTCACAGGAATTGGCTTCATGACCTCTTCYGGCAGCAAATCCCATTTATTACCACAAATGGCATAAAGTCATTGTGGATATTTGTTCAAAATTCAAAGTCATTTAATCACATCTGATAAATTGAATTAAGGTCTTGGTCCTGTGAATGGAATTCAGTTCTGAATATATCTGTGATGTTTCTAGCAACACCAATGACCTCTAATGTTTCATTTCTATATATAAACATTGTTCCATTTAGTTATTTTACCAGTTTTTAAATTTGTATATCATATAGGGTTATTACCAATCRTTACACTATCTTTTGTTTTGTTTTAGTACTGAGATTGAACCCAAGAGTGCTTAACCCCTGAGCAACATCCCCACTCCTTATTTTATTTTTATTTTTTTATTTTGAGACAGGGCCTCACTAAGTGGCTGAGGCTGGSTTTGAACTTTCAATCCTTCTGCTTCAGCCTCCTGAGTCACTGGGATTACAGGCATGTGCCATCTTGCCCAGCTAATTAGACTATAATAAAAAAGTTCAATAGTATTTTTTAAAACAATTATGTAAAACTAATGTTTTTATATTCTCCCACTTTGGTGGATTTTACACAAATCTACTGAAGTAGCTGGCACAGTGGTGCATACCTGTAATCCCAGCTCTTCAAGAGCATCACAAATTCAAATYTAGCCTGGACATCTATGTCAAAATAAAAGATAAAAAATTAAAAAAGGAAAGTATTTAGGGATGTAGCTCAGTGGTAGAGTGTCTCTGGGTTCAATTCCCAGTACCAAAAATTTAATCAATTGGTCAATCATCAATCTACTAAASTATCCTGAATAAATATCTAATTTCTAATACTAAAATTAACCCTTCTCTATAGAAAAAAAATGTACATAATTAAGAAGTCTCTGAATGCATTTTCATTTATGAGAAGACAAAATTAATTAACCACATTTATATTTATTCAAATATATCACAAATATCCAAACACTTCTTTCCATGGCCTCTGTGGCAAAACATAACAACAATGTTTCTCATTTCAACTACTGCAATAACCTTTGGACTGGCTACTGCTTCCACAATTTCCTCTCCACTAAACAGAACATTTGAAGTGATTCTTTAAATTTTTAATGAGATCATGTTAGTTTCCCAGTCAAAGCTCTCCTATCTCCATTGAACCATGAAATAAAGCCCAAACTTAGGATGGCCTTTGAGGCACAATGTATCTGTTCAGTTAGCTCCACCTCCTGCCCTGCACCCTGGATCTCCATGACTGCAGGTACAGTGGAAATTTAAGAAATTTTTGTAATTCAAGAAAATTTTAAAGCATTTTCTTTCATTTAAACCAATCATATATGTTGGCTAAAAAGTATTAACATGAAAATGAAAAAGTTAAAAACAATCATCTACTTATTTGGCCTTTCTTTTGCTAAGCATCCATATATTTATTGTTTTAGTAACATGGGTCTACTTTTTGTGCTATATAGTACAAATGATAAATGTAGTAAGTGGAGAACATGAAATATATTTAGCTATCAAGGCATACTCAATTCCTTAGAGTTTCAATTACAACATTCATTCTTTTTAATAACATTTTCCTTTATTGATYTATGTAATTTAATAATGTTTTCCTAAAAATTTATGTAATTTAATAATGTTTTCCTATCAATTCCTAAAGAAACCATGAATTGATATAAATAAAGAAACCAATAATACATACAAAAAAAGGATAGGTTGTAAGATGTGTGATTTACTTTAGTTTCCCTTTTAGTTCTTTAGCTTTATATACAGTACACCCAATGTGTTTAGCTAACATACTGTTTCTCTCTTTTTCAACAGGTTTAGAATGTAATAACTCAAGAATTCGATAACACAGWGGAATAGTTTAACAACTGTTTATGTGCTTCCCATGATATGTTCTCTGTATTGTAAGTAAATATTTACTTTCTCAATCCAGCTTGTTTGTGGGATAAATATGTTCAATTAGAAATTATAGGCAACTTACACTGTTTAAAACTCACCCAAAATATAAAACAAATTTATAAGATTATCTACTATGAAAGGATGTTCTGTAGCTTAGATTTAATACTGTATCAAAATTAAAACTTAAAATTATTGTCTATCATGATAGAATATTTACTGATGTTTAATTATACTTTTAAAATGCTATACTTAATACTCTTAAGAAATAATAAACATTTGAGATGTATATGTCTACCTCTATTTGAACTGCACATTGTACATGTATATCAGAACATCACATAATGGCCAATAAATATTTACTATTTTTATGTGTCAATTGAAAATAAAAAGGTTGTGAAAGCAATGCAGGAATAAAGAACTACTAAGCAGTAAGTTTCAACTCTTAGAAATGGCAAAGAAAGGAAACAGCCCAATTMTTTCCCTCAGAAGAAAGTAAGCCATGAATTGAAGCTCTTCACTTAAAAAAAAAACTATAATTTTTAATTTTTTAACACCAGGACATGCTATATTTTAACCACTAAAATTATCAAACCTAAAATTTACATCTCAAGCCTTACTCTTCACTCTCCCAATTCTTTTTTTGCTGTAGCTCTTGTCTAAGGATATAAAATCTGGCACCCATGATGAGGAATGCAGTGAACCTTGATCCTTCTTCATGGAAGGGAGGAAAATGTTGGGTGCCTGATGTTATTTTGAGAGTTTGAGGTGGTGATAGGTAGGGTATTGACATCCTGTTTCAGGATACAGACAAATTTTGATATAAAATATAATTTAATGCATAATGTAAGACTCTAAAGAAGTACTCCTATCTATTAAAGTATAACATGTATAAAATATAATATTTTTAATCAAGATAGAATAATTTTAAAACATGATCAGTGTAAAAACACTAATGAGACAATTTATATTTYTCCCATTAATATTTGAAATTCAGTGTATTCTTAAAGCACATCTCAATTCAGACATTAATTTTGTATTGGACATACTTGATTTACATTAAAATATTATGAAATTTACAATTGAAGAATTAGGTTAACAAATTCAAGTTTTCCCACACATATTTTATTTTTTTTAATAACTAAGTCAAATATCAGTTTAAAATTTACTTAAAATTAAGGCATTTCTGCAGTCAAACTATCCACATTTCAAGGGCTCAACAGCTACATATGTGCATTTGATTGCAACATCGAACAACTATATTCAAGAGAACTGATGACAAAATGCTACAATTCTACTACCTAATGCTACAATTCTACTACCTAATAAGTCTTTTAAGATAACTCTGGACACAGTAAAGAGGATATAACTTTAAAATTTCAATAAAAAAATTATCCAAAAACTCTGACTTAAAGTAAGGTTTTATATAATCACATATTTATGAAACATGTATGGGTAAGAAAAATATACAATAATTTCCAAATAATAACACATGTTAAAATTTGGAGTTTCTTAATTTCAGTTACATTTTCTGCTGTAACTGAAGGAATTAGATAATCATAGCCTCTTTGTTTCAATAAGTGAATCAAAATTTAGATATAAAATAAACAAAACATTAATTGTGAAATGCACTCATGAAAGAATGAAAATATAAGCTGCAGACATGTAAATCAAATTCTGATAAAGATTTGTAACCAGAATATGTAAAGAACTCTTATACTTAATAATATGTGATCAAATTGAAAAATGAGAAAAATATCTGTGCTTCACCAAAGGATATTTATGAATGGTTAATGGGTATATGAGAAGATGTTCAACATCATTAATCATTAGGAAAATGCACATTAAAACCACAGTGAAATATTACTCATAATCTATTAAAATTTATAAAATTTCTAAAATTTGACAATGAAAAATATTGATAGTATAGAGGACTACAGAGAAGTGTCATTCATTGATGATGAGAAATCAAAAAGCTACAAAGCCACTTTGAAAAACTATGTGCCAGTCCCCTGTAAAATTAAACACAGATGTTTCTTGACGTGAAAGAGGTTGCATTCCAATAAACCAATTATAAGTTGAACATATTGAACATATTGAAATATATCAAAAATGTATATAATACACTCAACCTACTGAACATAATAAAATTCCAGCATCATGAGAGATTATCATGTCACTAGATCAGAAAAAGATCAAAGTTCAAAATTTGAGGTGAATGCTGTACTGAATATGTATTGCTTTTGTTCAGTTGTAAAGTTGAAGGGTTGTAAATTGAACAATTTTAAGTAGAGGATCATTTATATACATTTATTATATGATCCAATGACCCCAATTCCAGGTAAATTAAAAACTTATTTTTACTGAAAAGCTATATGTGAATACTTGTAGCAACTTTAACTGTCAAAATATGAAAATAAAAAATCAGCTGTTTTGAACCAGTGAGTTGATAAACAAACTGTAGTATATTTACAAAAAGGAATCCTACTTAATTATCAAAAGGATATATTGGTTCATTCATAGCATGCATAAATCCTAAGTGAATTTTGGTAAGTGAAAGAAGACAGACCCAAATGACTAAGTGTTGTGCGATTCCATGTATTGCAAATTTTAGAAAAGGCAAAACATAAGAGATGGGAAACAAAACAGTGGTGACCTGGTTTAGACATATGAAAGAAYTGACTACAAAGTGACTGCAATAGAAAAGTTTGGGGGCAATGGAACTGTTCTATATGTTACTGTAGTGCTGAAGAAATTACTGTAGCTATCAAAGCACACAGAACTGTACAACTATATAGTGTGCAAATAAAAAATAATAAAACAAACAGAATGGGGTATCCCAAAATGGAATTAATTAATCTAAACAAATTACAAATGTAAGTTATAATTTCACTGAAGGTTATTGGAAAAAAGGTAGTTATCAATTCTGTAACTACTTTGCAAGTATTCTGGCATGAAACAAATAAGTAAATTGTTGACAGCCAGAATAACCTGAACAAGAAATTAGAAACAAGATGGCTAAAAAAAGCAAGATGGCTAAATTTAATAGATTAAGGATGTAATACCAATATGAACTCATTTTTATTTAATATACATTCAGAAATAGAAATACAGAGAGTGTATTTCTATGTGCATACATGAGCACACCCACACAACATTAGCTCTCTCTGCCAAAAGGTTCTAAAAGTAGTGACTCTGCTATAGCAAAAAAAACCTTTCATATTCAGATTCAGCTTTTAAATACCATTCTCCAACATAAAAAGAACCAACTTCTGATGGGGGAAAATGGCTGATTCTAGGTCCTGAGTAGGAAAAATGCAAGGTAAGCCTCACCTTCACAAAACAAAGCAAAGCTAACGTATTGGGACATGTCAGAAGGACATGAGAAGCAACCAGAAAGAATTCTCAATGACCAAAGCTGAAACATTTTAACAAAATAATGATCTTATTATAAGCTAAAGCATAAAGCAAAAATCTAATAATCCACACTGATATCTGTAAGTGGTTGAATAAGCAAATAAATTGAGAGACAGATCTTACTTATATAAAAATTCCAAATAATACATGTAGATACCTCAGCTACCTCACCCCCCAAGATATGAACCTTAGTTCTGTTCCCTTTGAGTACAGACTAAATTAATGACTATTTATAAAGAGTGGAGATTATGGACGTGGGGAACGTAAGTTTTTCTAGAGAAACCTGGTAAACACCACCCTCAAAAACTGAAGTTTACCAACTCCAGTGACAAATCATATTGATACCATGTACTCTGGTGTGATGGGATTAGGACATCATACTTATGTGATATGCTTCCACAAAATCCATAGTCCCACTCTAATCATGAGAAAATCATTACACAAAGACAAATTGAGGGACATTCTACAAAATGCCCCACCTATGCTCTTCAAAAGTTGCAATGAAAGTGATAGGAAAGAACCACAGTTGAGGAGAGGAAGGAGACATTACAACAATGCAAGGTGCTACCTTATGTTTCACTTTGAAAGGAAATATAGGAATTATTGGGGAAAACTGAATAGATCCTATAATTTGGTTAATATTGTTCCATGAATGTTATTTTGACGAATGTGCCTAGTTAAGAATGAGGGAAGGAAATATGGGAAATCTGTGTGTATCTTTGCAACTTTTCTGTCAATCTCAAGTTTTTACAAAACAGAGAAATTAATTTATATGAACTACAAGCTTTTATTAGCAAGGATTAATGTCCACCATGTTTAAGGGACTTTAAATCTCAATAACAAAAGTAAAATAATTCAATTAAAAATGGTCAAAGAGAGGCTGGAGCTCTGGCTCAGTGATAGTGCACTTGCCTGGCATGTGTGAGGCACTGGGTTCAATTCTCAGCACCATGTATAAATAAATAAAATACGGGTCTATCAACAACTAAAGAAAAATTAAGAAAATGGTCAAAGGACATAAACAGCCAGTCCTCAAAAGAAGAAACTCAGCTAGGTGCAGTTATACTCACCTGTAATTCCAGCTAATCAGAGGCTGAGGTATGAGGATTACTTGAACCTAGAACGGAAACCAGCCTAAGCAACATAGAAAGATTCCAATGTCAACAAATAAAGGAGGAAGAGGTGGAAGAATTCAAATGATAAATAAAAAAAGGCATAAATATATAAAAAATATTTTGTATTTGAAATAAAAGTTTCAACTATCCCTGCTCTAGGTTAATGAAAGCTCTTATTTGCATTGACTTTGTGCTAAACACTCAGGGTAGACCAAATCAAACAGAACTTTCAAATTTTAGTTCTGTGTATAGTTTATATTAATTTAAGACTTTATATAAAAACAACTAAAAGCAACTACATAGATATCAAGTGAACTAAATCACAGAAAGACAAATTCTGCATATTCTCTCTTATATGTGGATATTTAAAAAAGTGGAACTGAATGTAGAGTTGTGATTAGTTGAGTTTGTGAAGGGTAGAAAGGAGGACAATGGAAGGAAGTTGTACATTGCAAACCAAAACACAGATAGAAATC